TAGAAAGAGGCCCGAGTTCCTGATTTACAATTCCGAGTTGGATGACCATAGCCATTCAAATCTTATTTTTTCCTGTTCCCAGTTGTCTTGAACTCATTGAAGTCAGATTTCCCAGTTCTGAGTTAACAGTTGTTTTGAGCGTGGCAGAAATCATGCTGATTGACAGAATGGCCAATGTTGAATGTTTATCATTTTAAAGTTGGAAAAGAGAACCTTAAACCGAGAATTGGGACCACACACCCACTCCACTGAATAGCAGCCTAGTGATTGCTTTGCAATGCTTGCAGTTAGCCACTGATTCCTTCCAAACCACTCATTGTTGAATTTGCGATTTCCAACTTGTTGTGTAATGTTTATGTCCAATGGCCGATGAGCACCGATACGTTTTATCTATAATTTCTCTTCATTATTTCTCTTCATATGACAAGGATTAAAAAGGATTTGCCAGTAGATTGTCGACTTGATTCATGATGATGACTGCTAGCTAAGATTTAGAAAGTATGATGTTGACATGATCAGTGCAATCGAAGCTACTGTATATATAACATGATTTGACGTCATGTTATCTGTGGCCAATGACCTTCAGCCTTCTTGGATGGGCACTTCTAATATAACTATGGCAGCACCCAAGGGGCTTGAATTTTCGAGCTCTACCCTTAGATTTGGTAGTGACCTAGTGTCCCCATGAGTGACAGAACACTGAGCCAATCACGGCGCAACTAGAGAACATTATCAACCCCTACGCTCCGGATTTTCCGCTAGCTGCCTCACCACCACAGAAAGCACTGAGCTAGGCTGAAACACCTGCATTTTGGAGCTGCCTTACTCAAGAAAGCAAAAAAGAGACCATGGTTGTATGGAGGCTTTATTAACTCAATGATACATACATATTTTTTTATATTGTTTGCAAACTGATATGTGACACGTATTAATGCCAAAATAACATGGAAAAATGTGGGACTCAAAACAGGCGGGGCTCTACCTTCCCTGAATAACGGGTCGCCACTGCTCTCTCCCCTATTTCTCTCTCAATCTCTCTATCCTCTCTCCCCTATATCTCTATTATGTCTCTCCCCTCTCTCTCTTTCTGTCTCTCTCTCTTTCTCCATCTCCCCCTTCCCTCTATCTCAGAGATAAAATAGTTCCTCTGTTCTTCTCTCAGAAGAGGGGACTTTGCTATACACATTACCACGATGTAATCAGCCTCTCTGATTGCAGTAATATGTCAGCCATTTAGCCGCCGCTGGCTATGTGTCATTTACACAGAGCTGATATCCTGTGTGCTGGAGACATACGTGACTGGGAGGCCCCTATTGTAAATGACACTGGAGGTCAAATGGATGGCTCTAGTGTTGTCTGTCGCTTTGAGTGACTGTTGGCTGTTGTTTACCAGTAAGGAGCTCCGAGTTGGGTGTATAGTTGGGAGTAGTTTCTGTATTTTGCATGTTGGAATAGAATAGTTATAAACATGACATCCCAATTCTCTGGTAGATAAGCGATCATTTCAGTGGAGCATGCTTAGATGGTAGATAAGCGATCATTTCAGTGGAGCATGCTTAGATGGTAGATAAGCGATCATTTCAGTGGAGCATGCTTAGATGTTAGATAAGCGATCATTTCAGTGGAGCATGCTTAGATGGTAGATAAGCGATCATTTCAGTGGAGCATGCTTAGATGGTAGATAAGCGATCATTTCAGTGGAGCATGCTTAGATGTTAGATAAGCGATCATTTCAGTGGAGCATGCTTAGATGGTAGATAAGCGATCATTTCAGTGGAGCATGCTTAGATGGTAGATAAGTGATCATTTCAGTGGAGCATGCTTAGATGGTAGATAAGCGATCATTTCAGTGGAGCATGCTTTGATGGTAGATAAGCGATCATTTCAATGGAGCATGCTTAGATGTTAGATAAGCGATCATTTCAATGGAGCATGCTTAGATGGTAGATAAGCGATCATTTCAGTGGAGCATGCTTAGATGGTAGATAAGCGATCATTTCAGTGGAGCATGCTTAGATGTTAGATAAGCGATCATTTCAGTGGAGCATGCTTAGATGGTAGATAAGCGATCATTTCAGTGGAGCATGCTTAGATGGTAGATAAGCGATCATTTCAGTGGAGCATGCTTAGATGGTAGATAATCGATCATTTCAGTGGAGCATGCTTAGATGTTAGATAAGCGATCATTTCAATGGAGCATGCTTAGATGGTAGATAAGCGATCATTTCAGTGGAGCATGCTTAGATGGTAGATAAGCGATCATTTCAGTGGAGCATGCTTAGATGGTAGATAAGCGATCATTTCAGTGGAGCATGCTTAGATGGTAGATAAGCGATCATTTCAGTGGAGCATGCTTAGATGGTAGATAAGCGATCATTTCAGTGGAGCATGCTTAGATGTTAGATAAGCGATCATTTCAGTGGAGCATGCTTAGATGGTAGATAAGCGATCATTTCAGTGGAGCATGCTTAGATGGTAGATAAGCGATCATTTCAGTGGAGCATGCTTAGATCTTAGATAAGCGATCATTTCAGTGGAGCATGCTTAGATGTTAGATAAGCGATCATTTCAGTGGAGCATGCTTAGATGTTAGATAAGCGATCATTTCAATGGAGCATGCTTAGATGTTAGATAAGCGATCATTTCAGTGGAGCATGCTTAGATGGTAGATAAGCGATCATTTCAGTGGAGCATGCTTAGATGGTAGATAAGCGATCATTTCAGTGGAGCATGCTTAGATGTTAGATAAGCGATCATTTCAGTGGAGCATGCTTAGATGGTAGATAAGCGATCATTTCAGTGGAGCATGCTTAGATGGTAGATAAGCGATCATTTCAGTGGAGCATGCTTAGATGGTAGATAAGCGATCATTTCAGTGGAGCATGCTTAGATGTTAGATAAGCGATCATTTCAGTGGAGCATGCTTAGATGGTAGATAAGCGATCATTTCAGTGGAGCATGCTTAGATGGTAGATAAGCGATCATTTCAGTGGAGCATGCTTAGATGGTAGATAAGCGATCGTTTCAGTGGAGCTTTCTTAGATGCTTTCAGTAAAATAGAATTGTGTGTGTGTAGCGGACATGAGTCATGGGCACGTGATGAGGTAGCCCCGCCTGCGAACTTCAAAACCATTGTCTGCCCTCAGCCCAAGAGGGAATATTGGCTTGGTCTAACGGTTTAACATTGTTTGCTCCCGTGGGAGACCCGGGTTCATATCCTGCGTGGCTATATGTTACTTCCTGATGGATTTTCCTTCTATCTGTCCCATTTCTGTCCAGTCCACACCCATCTATGTGTTTGCAGAGGACTAAACCTGCCCTTTGAGACAGAATCAGTGTGTGCAGTGGCTGGATCAGGTACTTTGTGTGAATCTTTATAACTTCCACTCCTCTTCTGGTCCAATATTTGCTCAGAAGTATGTATGAATGAACGAGTGTTACAAAGATATGGATTACCCATAGGGTCTGTCTGTCTGTCTGTCTGTCTGTCTGTGTGTATGCATGCGCACCACTCAGACCTCTCAACTTATAAAGAGCCATCCATGTCAACATGCAACACTCCATATAATAGTGTTAACTCTGATGCCATTCACAAGCTACTGGTAAGAAGAGAAATGAAAAAACTGAAGTTTGGATGAACTGATGAGGTGTTCCCATTAAATTGTGAGTCACTCAAACAAATCGAGACAGTTGAATGTAATGACTAATGTATTAATAAGGAAGAATGTTTTTATTTAATTGTGTCCAATCACGCATGCAACTGCTCGAGTTGAATAGCTATGGAATAGAATGGGGATTTACTTTAGAGTAGTTAGCAACCAAATGCGCAGTGTGAATGCAGCTCATTCTCAATGATTTCAGTATTTTGCAGATGTATGCATGCTTAACATAGGACATTTCATAGAATTGGTGTATTAGTCTTCTTGGGGGATTGGTGAGTAAATGCTGTCTGTGCATTTTGATCCAGTGTGCATTGGAAGGGCCTCCCTTAACTCATACAGTAGCTGCAGATGCACAATGAATGTGTAGAGACTGTACAATATAGAGACTGAAATGTGGTCAGTAAGATATGGTGTGGATGTCTCCTTCCTGCCTCTAGCTCCCCTTCCTCCTCTGACCGGACTGGAGTTCTCTTCTCACACATGGCCTATTGTCCCACTGCCATGATCTCAGCAATGTGGGCCCCCTATCACACACACCCGCGCACGCACGCACGCACACACACACACACACACACACACACACACACACACACACACACACACACACACACACACACACACACACACACACACACACACACACACACACACACACACACACATAACACACACACATAACACACACACACACACACACACACACACAGAGAAGCACTGTCTGTCACTGCATCACTAGGACATACTGTCCACATTTATAGCGCAGACCATTACAATCCTATTATTTGTCTGGTAAGACCTTGTTCCCCCCATCCCCCCTCTATCAGCCTCAGGCCTGGTCCACTAAATGCAGAGGGGTTATGGCCTGCACCGCTTCAAACACAGCATCAGACATATCAACATTCATGTCAACAGACATAACAACAGACATATCAACAGACATATCAACAGAAATATCAACAGAAATATCAACAGACATATCAACAGAAATATCAACAGAAATATCAACAGACATATTAACAGACATATCAACAGATATAACAACAGATATAACAACAGATATAACAACAGATATCAACAGACATATAAACAGACATATTAACAGACATACTGTAGCATTGCATGTCAATAGACTCATCACTGCAGTCACATGTACCATCACACCACTATAATGAGTCCAACTATCTAGGTTATTTTGTTTAAGCTCTTATTCCATACCAGTGCACTCCTTGCCTGAGGTACACTGGTCTCTCTGATTAGTTGGTTGGTTGGTTGATTGATTGAACAACACTGACAACAAACCTTCTTTGATCTCCCCTCCTTCCTGTGTGTGTGTCAGTGGTGTGTCCTGGTACCCAGAATGGCCTGAGCTCCACAGGATCCCAGGAGAACCAGTACAACCTGATCAAGGACCGCTACACAGGCTGTGAGATCATCATGGGTAACCTGGAGATCACCCAGATAGAGACTGACTGGGACTTCAGCTTCCTAGGGGTGAGACAGAGACAGCATTTTTTATTATAAGATCTCTTGTTGTTGTTGTTGTTGTTGTTATAGTTGTTGTTGTTGTTGGTGTTCTTCTTTTCTTCTTCTAATTTTTCTTGTCCATGAGACATGTCCATGAGGCCTCCACTGGTAATCTAGGTAATCTGGTAATGTGACTGTCTCTAACCTCATTCTAACTCCTGTGCTTCAATACGATCAGAGAGGTGACAGGCTACATCCTGTCTCTAACCTGTACTGTTACAGTAACATTAGGACGTAATCTGTAATCTGATTAACTCTGTAACTCTGTCTCTGTCACTCCAGACCATCAGAGAGGTAACGGGCTACATCCTAATCGCCATGAACCACTTCAGACGTCTGCCTCTGGAACAGCTGCGCGTGATCAGGGGCAACACCCTGTACGACCGAGGGTTCGCCCTCTCTGTTTTCCTCAACTACCCCAAGGAGGGCTCCAATGGCCTGCAGCACCTGGGACTCACATACCTCACTGGTGAGAGGAGGAAAGGGGGAGGAGGGGGGGGAGAGGAGAGGAAAGGAGAGAAGGAAAGAGGAGAGGAGAGGGGTGAAGGAGTGGGGGATATGGAGAGGTGGGAGGGAGGGTGAAGAGTAGAAAGGGTGAAGGAAAGAGGAGAGGAGAGGGGTGAAGGAGTGGGGGATATGGAGGGGTGGGAGGGAGGGTGAAGAGTAGAAAGGGTGAAGGAAAGAGGAGGGGGCCGCCGGGTTGGGTGGTCGGCTCGGTGGGCGGGCGGGTGGCGCGGGGCTCCCTCGAGTGCGCGTCCCACGGCCGGCGCGGTGCCGGCGCGGGGGCTCTGGCGGGTGGGCGGGCGGTGGCCCGTCGCCCGGGTAGGCCCGCGGCTGGCGGGGGTCCGGCCGGGGCTCTGGCGCGTGGCGGCGGTGCCGCGTCGGGGTGCCGGCCCGCGTGCGCGGCGGGTGCCTGGGGGCTCTGGGAGGGGTGGGCGGGGGAGTAGAAAGGGTGAAGGAAAGAGGTGAGAAGGAGGGATAGTGGTAGTCAGCAGTGGTTAACCTCCTTGAGATGATTGACACGCTAAGTTACATAGAACAAAGAAATTCCCCATCAAAATTCATCAGTTTAAACTAGAGATATCTGTTTTTTTTCCACCAGAGTAGAGCTTCCGCATCTGCGGTGAAAGGTGGCAGAGCTAAAGCGGTGTTTGTGAAACCATGAGACATCCTGAAAATCTGTCTTCTCACGTAAACTTCTGTAGTGTCCGAACGGTTTGACGGTTTGAATGAAAGTAGGTAGGTTTGTGCCACACAAAAAGGGGTTTTTGTTTTGATTTTTACTAGTTTCTACATTGTAGAATAATAGTGAAGACATCAAAACCTTGAAATAACACATATGGAATCTTGAGTAACCAAAAAAGTGTTAAGCAAATCTAAATATATTTTATATTTGAGATTCTTCAAATAGCCACCCTTCGCCTTGATGACAGCTTTGCACACTCTTGGCATTCTCTCAACCAGCTTCACCTGGAATGCTTTTCCAACAGTTTTGAAGGAGTTCCCACATATGCTGAGCACTTGTTGTCTGCTTTTCCTTCACTCTGCCGTCCGACTCATCCCAAACCATGTCAATTGGGTTGAGGTCGGGGGATTGTGGAGGCCAGGTCATCTGATGCAGCACTCCATCACTCTCCTTCTTGGTCAAATAGCCCTTACACAGCCTGGAGGTGTGTTTTGGGTCATTGTCCTGTTGAAAAACAAATGATAGTCCCACTAAGTGCAAACAAGATGGGATGGCATATTGCTGCAGAATGCTGTGGTAGCCATGCTGGTTAAGTGTGCCTTGAATTCTAAATAAATCACAGACAGTGTCACCAGAAAAGCACCCCCACACCATAACATCTCCTCCTCCATGATTTACGGTGGGAACTACACATGCGGAGATCATCCGTTCACCCACATCGCGTCTCACAAAGACACAGTGGTTGGAACCAAAAATTGCCAATTTGGATTCCAGACCAAAGGACAAATTTCCACCTGTCTAATGTCCATTGCTTGTGTTTCTTGGCCCAAGCAGGTATCTTCTTCTTATTGGTGTCCTTTAGTAGTGTTTTCTTTGCAGCAATTCGACCATGAAGGCCTGATTCACACAGTCCCCTCTGAACAGTTGATGTTGAGATGTGTCTGTGACTTGAACTCTGTGAAGCATTTATTTGGGCTGCAATTTCTGAGGCTGGTAACTCTAATGAACTTATCCTCTGCAGCAGAGGTAACTCTGGGTCTTCCATTCCTGTGGTGGTCCTCATGAGAGCCAGTTTCATCATAGCGCTTGATGGTTTTTGCGACTGCACTTGAAGAGTTCTTGAAATTTTCCGGATTGACTGACCTTCATGTCTTTAAGTAATGATGGACTGTTGTTTCTCTTTGCTTATTTGAGCTGTTCTTGCCATAATATGGACTTGATCTTTTACTAAATAGGGCTATCTTCTGTATGCCCCCCCCCCCTACCTTGTCACAACACAACTGATTGGCTCAAACGCATTAAGAAAAAAAGAAATTCCACAAATTAACTTTTAACAAGGCACACCTGTTAATTGAAATGCAATACAGGTGACTACCTCATGAAGCTGGTTGAGAGAATGCCAAGCGTGCGCAAAGCTGTCATCAAGGAAAAGGATGGCTATTTGAATAATTTCAAATATAAAACACTTCTTTGTTTACTACATGATTCCATATGTGTTATTTCATAGTTTTGATGTTTTCACTATTATTCTACAATGTAAACAATTTTAAAAATAAAGAAAAACCCTTGAATGAGTAGGTGTGTCCAAACTTGACTGGTAGTGTATATTTATGATAACTAAAGGCGTCCTTTTTTTTTTTTTTTTTCAATTCAAAATCAAATAGCTAAATGATCCGTAGTATGACCATCTTAAAACAATTCCATATGTCAGCTTCAACCCTAACTCTAGCCATAACCCTAACCCTAATCCTAGCCATAACCCTAATTTTAGCCATAACCCTAATCCTAGCCATAACCCTAACCCTAATCCTAGCCATAACCCTAATTTTAGCCATAACCCTAATCCTAGCCATAACCCTAACCCTAATCCTAACCATAACCCTAATTTTAGCCATAACCCTAATCCTTGCCATAACCCTAACACTAATCCTAGCCATAACCCTAATTTTAACCATAACCCTAATCCTAGCCATAACCCTAACCCTAATCCTAGCCATAACCCAAATTTTAACCATAACCCTAATCCTAGCCATAACCCTAACCCTAATCCTTGCCATAACTCTAACCCTAATCCTTGCCATAACCCTAACCCTAATCCTTGCCATAACCCTAACCCTAATCCTAGCCATAACCCTAATTTTAGAGAGAGAACTGAAAGAGGACATATGAAATGAGGAAAAGCTAAAGAGACGTAGGAGAAATTAGAGAGGGAACAGAGGTGAAGAGGATAGATGCCAGACAGGGAGGACAAATTGTGTGGGCGGCAGGAGCCAGGAATCTCTTGTGGTTACTGTAAAACACACCACACCCTCAGTGTGCAGACAGGTGTGTAATGTAGCATGGCAGGGGAGGGGGATTAGGGGTGAAGAGGGGGTGTGAAGGGGGATTGATGGTAAAGACCTGACTAATGACTTTACTGTGAAAGCAGAGCTTCCAGTTATTCCCAACAACACTGGGTTTCACCTGTAGTTCGCGGTGTGTTTCCGTGTGTTTGTGTATGTGTATTATATCTCACAACCCCTCCAACCTCTAAGGAGAGGTTCTGGGAGCAGCTTCTCCCTACATGCTCCAGCATGTCTTGGTTAATGTTTAATGAAAGGTTGAGTCAAACTGGAACTGTCTTAGTGTAACACGGATTTATCTTCTTCTCTCACATCGCTCAGCTCTCGTTCTTCGGACTCTATTTATCTCGAGACTCTCTCTTCCTCTCGATCTCGTAGCGGAATGACGCTTAAGGAGCAGGGTAAGAAATGATACGCGGAGTGAGAAGAGAGAGAGCAGATATCCGCTCTCTCATCAGTCCGATCGTTACCCCTCCTGAGAGATCTCAGTCTCATCTCTATAGTCTAGCTCTGCCCTCTAGCTCTCTCATTTCTCTCTCATCTCTCTCCTCTCGTCTCTCTCTTCTCTTCTCTTCTCTCTCTACAGAGATTCTGGAGGGGGGGGTCCAGATCGTCAACAACAGGTTCCTGAGCTATGGTCCCTGGGTGAACTGGGATGACATTGTGAGGGACAGGGATAGGGCCAAGGCTCCCATTGACATCCAGTACAATGGCCAGAGAGGTCAGTGTCTGTCCACTAGAATAGGATAAGTGGTTAGAGTCTGATCTGAAAAATACAAAAAGAGATCAGGATTCCGGTTGAGATTCCGAACTCTGGCTAGACCATGAACTTTGACCTCTGTTCCTGGGTCAGCCTTTGGCTGCTATGTCTGACTGATAATAATGTTCCATGTCTGTAGGGCCTTGTCACCCCTCCTGTGGGGAGAACTGCTGGGGGTCTGGTGAAGAACACTGCCAGATCTGTGAGTTCTCTGCTTGCTCTTCATCTGGGTGTGCCACCTCTCATTCTATCTCTTTATTTTTCTCTATCTCTCACCCTCTTGCTCACTCTCTCGATCTCTCACCCTCTTTCTCACTCTCTGTATCCTCACCCTCTTGCTCACTCTCTCTATCTATCACCCTCTTTCTCACCTCCTATCTCCACCCTCATTGCACTCTCTCTATCCCTCACCCTCTTGCTCACTCTCTCTATCCCTCGCCCCTTTGCTCACCCCCTCTTTCCCCCACCCTGTTGGTCACTCTCTCTACTCTCACTCTTTCTATCTCTCTATTCTCACCTTTCTCACTTCTCTTCCCTCATATTGCCCCAAATCTCTATATCTCAACCTCTTGCTACTCATGTCTCAGCCTTTTTCATCCTCTATCCTCACCCTTGTGCAAATCTCTCTATTCACAACCCCCTTGCCCTCTCTTATCCCAAACAACCCCTTGCTAATTTTCTATCTAACCTCTTTTCACCCTTTTTATCTCTCACCCTCTTGCACATCTCTATATCCTCACCATTTTCACTCTATCTATCCCCCACCTCTTGCCCCTCTTCTATCTCTCACCCCTTTCTCACTCTCTATCTCTCCCTCTTAAATCAATTTTTATCCTCACCCCCCTACTTCTTTTTCCCCCCCTCTTTTTCACCACTTGTCATATATTGTCACATGCTAACATACACTATCCTGTCACTGACCCCCCTCTCTGTCCCCCTCAGTGACTAAGACGGTGTGCGCCCCTCAGTGTAACGGCCGCTGTTTTGGGACAAGCCCCAGGGACTGCTGTCACATAGAGTGTGCAGGGGGCTGCACTGGGCCTCAGGACACGGACTGCTTTGTGAGTGCTTTTCTCTCATTCTCAAAGGAGTAGGGATTTAACAGTAGTGATTTAGTGATTTAATTGAACCTTAATAGCTCAATAGAGTCCACAGGCGCGTCGCCACCATAATTACATACAGTACCAGTCAAAATAGTTATTTTTTAAACTATTTTCTACATTGTAGAATAATAGTGAAGACATCAAAACTATGAAATAACACCATATGGAATCATGTAGTAACCAAAAACTAATCAAAATATATGTTATATTTGAGATTCTTCAAATAGCCACCCTTTGCCTTGATGACAGCTTTGCACACTCTTGGCATTCTCTCAACCAGCTTCATCAGGTAGTCACCTGGAATGCATTTCAATTAACAGGTGTGCCTTCTTAAAAGTTAATTTGTGGAATTTCTTTCCTTCTTAACGCGTTTGAGCCAATCAGTTGTGTTGTGACAAGGTAGGGGGGGTATACAGAAGATAGCCCTATTTGGAAAAAGGCCAAGTCCATATTATGGCAAGAACAGCTCAAATAAGCAAAGAGAAACGAAAGTCCATCATTACTTTAAGACATGAAGGTCAGTCAATCTGGAAAGTTTCAAGAACTTTGAATGTTTCTTCAAGTGCAGTCGCAAAAACCATCAAGCGCTATGATGAATCTGGCTCTCATGAGGACCGCCACAGGAATAGAAGACTCAGAGTTACCTCTGCTGCAGAGGAAAAGTTCATTAGCGTTACCAGCCTCAGAAATTGCAGCCCACATAAATGCTTCACAGAGTTCAAGTAACAGACACATCTCAACATCAACTGTTCAAAGGGGACTGTGTGAATCAGGCATTCATGGTCGAATTGCTGCAAAGAAACCACTACTAAAGGACACCAATACTAAGAAGAGACCTGCTTGGGCCAAGAAACACGAGCAATGGACATTAGACCGGTGGAAATGTGTCCTTTGGTCTGGAGTCCAAATGGGAGATTTTTGGTTCCAACCGCTGTGTCTTTGTGAGATGCGGTGTGGGTGAACGGATGATCTCCGCGTGTGTATTTCCCACCGTAAAGCATGGAGGAGGAGATGTTATGGTGTGGGGGTGCTTTGCTGGTGACACTGTCTGTGATTTATTTAGAATTCAAAGCACATTTAACCAGCATGGCTACCACAGCATTCTACAGCGATATGCCATCCCATCTGGTTTGGGCTTAGTGGGACTATCATTTGTTTTTCAACAGGACAATGACCCAACACACCTCCAGGCTGTGTAAGGGCTATTTGTGGTCCTCTGTAGCTCAGCTGGTAGAGCACGGCGCTTGTAACGCCAAGGTAGTGGGTTCGATCCCCGGGACCACCCATACACACAAAAAAATGTATGCACGCATGACTGTAAGTCGCTTTGGATAAAAGCGTCTGCTAAATGGCATATTATTATTATTATTATTATTATTTTACCAAGAAGGAGAGTAATGGAGAGCTGCATCAGATGACCTGGCCTCCACAATCCCCCGACCTCAACCCAATTGAGATGGTTTGGGATGAGTCAAACCACAGAGTGAAGGAAAAGCAGCCAACAAGTGCTCAGCATATGTGGGAACTCCTTCAAGACTGTTGGAAAAGCATTCCAGGTGAAGCTGGTTGAGAGAATGCCAAGAGTGTGCAAAGCTGTCATCAAGGCGAAGGGTGGCTATTTGAAGAATCTCAAATATAAAATATATTTTGATTTGTTTAACACTTTTTTTGTTTACTACATGATTCCATATGTGTTATTTCATAGTTTTGATATCTTCACTATTATTCTACAATGTAAAAAATTGTAAAAATAAAGAAAAACCCTTGAATGAGTAGGTGTGTCCAAACTTTTGACTGGTAGTGTATATAGGACCCTCATTGAATTTGCTTCTTATTGAGTTATCAAGTCGTGGACATATGTCACAACACCAACTGTATGTCACACGCAGCTTTGAGGCTTTGAACTGTGTAGCGCAGTTTTGTAACAGCTGATGAAGTAGCTCATTTACAGTAAGAAAGCTAATATAGAGGACTTCATGAGAAGGTTCATGATTCATTCTAAATTCCTGTGCGTGCGTGTGTGTCTACCTTCCTACTCTCAGGCGTGCAGTCACTTCAACGACTCAGGCTCCTGTGTGCCCCAGTGTCCCCAGACTCTGATTTACAACAAGCAGACGTTTCAGATGGAGACGAACCCAAATGCCAAGTATCAGTACGGATCCATCTGTGTCTCCCACTGCCCCAGTGAGTACCCTTGTGTGTGTGTGTGTGTGTGTTCGTGTGTGTGTGTGTGTGTGTGTGTGTGTGTGTGTGTTCATGTGTGTTTGTGTTTTTATCTATATTCTCACATTCTTCCTCTTGTGTTCTCGTACTGAACTGGTATCTGTGTATTTTCTAAACACTGAACCAGCCAAGTGACAACAAGAACATCCAAGCCACTGCATGGTTCTGAATGAATCTGAATAGATGCCTATGTCTCTTCACTCCTCTGCCCTCTGTCCCCCATACAGCACACTTCGTGGTGGACGGCAGCTCCTGTGTGAGCGGCTGTCCTCCAGACAAGAAGGAGGTGGAGAGGAGTGGTCAGAGGCAGTGTGAGCTCTGTGGAGGACTGTGCCCTAAAGGTAATCCAACACAGTCAATACACTAACACACCCTGGCCCAATCCCAGATAGTCTGTCCTCGATTCTGCCTACTTGTCAAAACACGTTAGAGGTGAAGGTCTGAGGTCCCTCTGAGTTTTGAGAAGGAGGAGAGGAGGAAAGGATGTGAGGAAATGAGGAAAGAATATTGAGAAATAGTCCCTGTAGTGACTACAGTCACTTTCAATGGTTGACTAATAGCTGCTAGATTAAGGTTGTTTGTGCAGGAATTTCATGCTGTTATTTTTGGTAGTTTCGACATAGCTGTTTAGTTCATCTTCATACACAAGCCTGCAAGGGACAGAGCCTGAGCACAGACAGACACATTGATTGATTGATTGATTCCCAAAATTAGCCTGTGAGGGCACAGGTCCTGAGCACAGACAGACTGTGGACTCCAGTAACATTGACAGCTTCATCAACTGCACCAAGATACAGGGCAGTCTGCACTTCCTGGTCACAGGGATCCTTGGGTAAGTGAGTTCATCACACTGGAAGTGTTGTAGTTTGATTGCTGCATTATGTAGCATTATCAGTACATGTACAGTAGATGTGCTCTGTGTATTTTTCAGTGATGACTATAAGAATATCCCACCTCTGGACCCTAAGAAGCTGGAGGTCTTCCGCTCTGTGCAGGAGATAACAGGTGTGTGTGTGTGTGTGTGTGTGTGTGTGTGTGTGTGTGTGTGTGTGTGTGTGTGTGTGTGTGTGCGTGCGTGCGTATTTGTGTGTGTGAGAAAGTCCATATTTCTGAATAACTATAATCCCATACAGTATGTTGCTTTGTTGTTATACAGTATAACCAGAAATTGAAATCCCAGTTTGTCCACCTTTTCACAGCCACAGTCTGTCCACCATGAGGAGTGTGTATATTTGCACTCGTGTATACTATGTTTGCTTGCCCATTGTCTAATGTCCAGATATCCTAGCCATCCAGTCGTGGCCTAAAGAGCTGTCGGATCTGTCAGTTTTCTCCAGTCTCACCACCATACAGGGAAGATCTCTTCACAAGTAAGGCAGTGTGTGTGTGTGTGTGTGTGTGTGTGTGTGTGTGTGTGCGTGTGTGTGTGTGTGTGTGTGTGTGTGTGTGTGTGTGTGTGCATGTTTGTGTGCGTATGCACGTGTGACTGCATGTGTGTGTATGTGTGTGTGAAAGAAAGTCCATATTTCTATATAACTCAAATCTCATTCTGTTTTGTTATATAACTTGATCATGTAATTTCATCCACCCAGTCTGTTTGCTTTAATAATACCAGAAGCTGCTTTTTCTGTCAACAGCTCATGTCAAGCCCCCTGTCATGCATGTCACTAGAGCATGTAATCTCTCTATCTCTCTTTTTGTGTCTCACCCTCCTGTCCCCTCTGCTCCTGATGTCTCTCTCCAGCGCAAAGAGGTATGGACTGAACTTTTTGCTAAACCAAAGCATGGCCTTAAGGCTGACTAACACAGATAGTTTGTTACTGTGATGTTGCAATATCTTAATGAAACTACCTATTGCAGTTTTAGTTTCCACCACAAATAAATGTTTATTTAATTTAATTTGTTGTTCTAGTCTCCTTCTGAGGTTTAAGGATGCTTTTTTTCTGTAAGAGGTAAATTGATGATGCAGTATGTGGCTGCGTTTACACAGGCAGCCCAATTCTGATCTTTTTTCCACTAATTGGTCTTTTGACCAATCAAATCAGATCTTTTCACATCAGCTCTTTTTCAGAGCTGATCTGATTGGTCAAGAGACCAATTAGTTTAAAAAAATATCAGAATTGGGGGCTACCTGTCTAAATGCAGCCAGGTCTTTTCTCACCAACTGCGTTGCAATCTTTTTGTCCGAATTCCGAAAAAAACAGATTCCAATTATGACACACTAAACAATTCACACGAAGTCTGATGCGTTTTTCCCTCCACTTTTTGGTTAAATTTTTCAGAACGTCACCAACACTGCTGCGGTCATTCTCAGTGACAATATGTTCAATTTCATCAAAGTGGCTAAAGAGATAGAATAATAGAGAGATAGAATAATGCTAAATCAATATAGCCGATCATATAAATTGACGAGGAAAGTTTTAAGGGGGTTAGAGAGACAGCTGTGATATAGGCTATATGAAGATTAAATTGACAACCATTAGAAAATAGAAACCTGTTCCCTTCTTGCTCAATTCATGCATCTCCACTGGCCTATCTCTTCCCCCTCTCTATAGCTCTTGAACGTGTAGCCTATATATAGACAATGAACAGCAATATATACTCAGTGGCCATCTAGTACTGGGCCGGAACCCCCTTTGCTTCCAGAACAGCCTGAATTCTTTGTGGCATGGAAACGTTGCTCAAAAACATTCCCCACACCATTACACCACCGCCACCAGCCTGTACCGTTGACACCAGGCAGGATGGGGCCAAGGACTCATGCTGCTTACGCCAAATCCTGACTCTGCCATCAGCATGACTCAACAGGAACCGGGATTCGTCGCACCAGGCAATGTTTTTCCACTCCTCAATTGTCCAGTGTTGGTGATCACGTACCCACTGGAGCTGCTTCTTCTTGTTTTTAACTGATAGGAGTGGAACCCAGTGTGGTCATCTGCTGTAATAGCCCATCCATGACAAGGACCAACGAGTTGTGCGTTCCAAGATGCCGTTCTGCACACCACTGTTGTACTGCACCGTTATTTGCCTCATAGCTTGCACAATTCTTGCCATTCTCCTTCGACCTCTCTCATCAATGAGCTGTTTTCGCCCACAGGACTACCGCTGACTGGAGGTTTTTTGTTTGTCGCACCATTCTCGGTAAACCCTAGACACTGTCGTGTGTGAAAAGGCCAGGAGGCCGGCCGTTTCTGAAAAACTGAAACCAGCGCACCTGGCACCGACGATCATACCACGCTCAAAGTTGCTTTTGACCATTCTAATGTTCAATTGAATGGTAACTGAATTTCTCGATGCCTGTCTGCCTGCGTAATATAGCAAGCCATGGCCACGTGACTGACTGTCTGTAGGAGCGAACCATTTTCGTGAACGGGGTTGTGTACCTAATAAACTGGCCACTAAGTGTAGTTAGAAACGTATTTTAAGGTCTATTTAAGGAGAGAAGTATCGATCGATTCTCTTGCTTGCTGAGTGGCTATAAAATAGGCTACAGTGTTGGCAATGAACTGGAGGGGAAGTTTGAATGGAGAGAGTGACGTGTAGCTCTGGTGTGATCACATTGGATAAATTGATACATTGCTGCACTGCTGCATAGCAAACGTCAAAATAAGGATAAATAAAATCATTAATTCATTAATCCACACAACGAACCAAAAAGTGGGGGAAAAAAGTATTTAGTCAGCCACCAATTGTGCAAGTTCTCCCACTTAAAAAGATGAGAGAGGCCTGTAATTTTCATCACAGGTACACGTCAACTATGACAGACAAATTGAGGAAAAGAAATCCAGAAAATCACATTGTAGGATTTTTAATGAATTTATTTGCAAATCATGGTGGAAAATAAGTATTTGGTCACCTACAAACAAGCAAGATTTCTGGCTCTCACAGACCTGTAACTTCTTCTTTAAGAGGCTCCTCTGTCCTACACTCGTTACCTGTATTAATGGCACCTGTTTGAACTTGTTATCAGTATAAAATACAAAATTATAGACTGATAATTTCTTTGTCAGTGGGCAAACGTACAAAATCAGCAGGGGATCAAATACTTTTTTCCCTCACTGTATATACGTAGTTCCCTGTAGCTCAGTTGGTAGAGCATGGTGCTTGTAACGCCAGGGTTGTGGGTTCGTTTCCCACGGGGGGCCAGTATGAAAATGTATGCACTCACTAACTGTAAGTCGCTCTGGATAAGAGCGTCAGCTAAATGACTAAAATGTAAAATTAATGTGGTATGTTGCCTGCACATCAAGGAGTCACCTCTCTCTGGAGTGTCAGACACTCCAGGCAGCACGTATCCATAGTGATCTTCCTCTTGCTCAAGCCTGTTGGCGTGTGAGACTGCAGATTGGCTCCTATGCACCATGGTGGTGGAGGTGTGGTGGGTACTACTGCCACTGTCCCTGCCGGCTCTGGGCTGCTGCCTATATACAGTGGAGAAAAAAGTATTTAGTCAGCCACCAATTGTGCAAGTTCTCCCACTTAAAAAGATGAGAGAGGCCTGTAATTTTCATCATAGGTACACGTCAACTATGACAGACAAAATGAGAAAAACAAATCCAGAAAATCACATTGTATGATTTTAAATGAATTTATTTGCAAGTTATGGTGGAAAATAAGTATTTGGTCAATAACAAAAGTTTCTCAATACTTTGTTATATACCCTTTGTTGGCAATGACACAGGTCAAACGTTTTCTGTAAGTCTTCACAAGGCTTTCACACACTGTTGCTGGTAATTTGGCCCATTCCTCCATGCAGATCTCCTCTAGAGCAGTGATGTTTTGGGGCTGTCGCTGGGCAACACGGACTTTCAACTCCCTCCAAAGATTTTCGATGGGGTTGAGATCTGGAGACTGGCTAGGCCACTCCAGGACCTTGAAATGCTTCTTACGAAGCCACTCCTTCGTTGCCCGGGCGGTGTGTTAGGGTTCATTGTCATGCTGAAAGACCCAGCCACGTTTCATCCTCAATGCCCTTGCTGATGGAAGGAGGTTTTCACTCAAAATCTCATGATACATGGCCCCATTCATTCTTTCCTTTACACGGATCAGTCGTCCTGGTCCCTTTGCAGAAAAACAGCCCCAAAGCATGATGTTTCCACCCCCATGCTTCACAGTAGGTATGGTGTTCTTTGGATGCAACTCAGCATTCTTTGTCCTCCAAACACGACGAGTTGAGATTTTACCAAAAAGTTATATTTTGGTTTCATCTGACCATATAACATTCTCCCAATCCTCTTCTGGATCATCCAAATGCACTCTAGCAAACTTCAGACGGGCCTGGACATGTACTGGCTTAAGCAGGGGGACACGTCTGGCACTGCAGGATTTGAGTCCCTGGCGGCGTAGTGTGTTACTGATGGTAGGCTTTGTTACTTTGGTCCCAGCTCTCTGCAGGTCATTCACTAGGTCCCCCCGTGTGGTTCTGGGATTTTTGCTCACCGTTCTTGTGATCATTTTGACCCCACGGGGTGAGATCTTGCGTGGAGCCCCAGATCGAGGGAGATTATCAGTGGTCTTGTATGTCTTCCATTTCCTAATAATTGCTCCCACAGTTGATTTCTTCAAACCAAGCTGCTTACCTATTGCAGATTCAGTCTTCCCAGCCTGGTGCAGGTCTACAATTTTGTTTCTGGTGTCCTTTGACAGCTCTTTGGTCTTGGCCATTGTGGAGTTTGGAGTGTGACTGTTTGAGGTTGTGGACAGGTGTCTTTTATACTGATAACAAGTTCAAACAGGTGCCATTAATACAGGTAACGAGTGGAGGACAGAGGAGCCTCTTAAAGAAGAAGTTACAGTTCTGTGAGAGCCAGAAATCTTGCTTGTTTGTAGGTGACCAAATACTTATTTTCCACCATGATTTGCAAATAAATTCATTAAAAATCCTACAATGTGATTTTCTGGATTTCTTTTCCTCAATTTGTCTGTCATAGTTGACGTGTACCTATGATGAAAATGACAGGCCTCTTTCATCTTTTTAAGTGGGAGAACTTGCACAATTGGTGGCTGACTAAATACTTTTTTTCCCCACTGTACCTCTCAGTGACATTGCTGCACTGATGCATTAAAAACGTCAAAAACAGGCAGAGAGAAATGCATTCATTCACGCAACGAACCCACAGACCTGTCAGTGGCAGTATCCCAGATAACATGTTCTATTGGTGAACAGCTTATTTTCTCGTGAGAAAATATCTAAAAAACGAACCTGCTCCAAATAAATAATGGACGATATTTCGCAATTGGTGTGAACGGTGTCGTAAACAAGACGTGCTTGTCTTTTATTTCGTCTGAGTAACGGACTTGGTGAGAAAGGGCCATTAGAGGGTGTTTTACCAATCTCAAACTTTTATTTTCTCCTCTCCTCCAGGCGTTTCTCTCTGATGGTCATGCGTGTTGCGTCCATCACCTCTCTGGGTCTGCGTTCCCTGGGAGAGATCAGTGACGGCAACGTGTACCTCAGCCACAACGCCAACCTGTGTTACCACCACACCGTCAACTGGACACGCCTGTTCACCGGGCACGTCACACGCCTCAACGACATCAAGGACAACAAGCCTCTGAGAGAGTGTGGTGAGGCTGGGCTGAAAAGCATGAGAGAGACATCTCAGCTACTAGCTGTTTTAATCTTGCAGGGCCATATTCTGACCTGAGATCGGCACGCTGAATTCCAATTTTCGAGTTGAAGTCAATTAAGTGAAAGTCAGAGTTGCATGGATTTATCTCAACTACGAATCATGGTGTTGTTGTTTACAGTTGAGGAGGGTCACGTGTGTGACCCACTGTGTTCAGACTCAGGCTGCTGGGGCCTGGGGTCCGACCAGTGTCTCTCCTGCAGGAACCACAGCAGAGACGCTACCTGTGTGGCACACTGCAACTTCTACACAGGGTCAGTGGGAGGGACCGTTATGTGTGTGTGTGTGTGTGTGTGTTACTTGTGTGTGAGAGAGAGAGAGAGGAAGAAAATTTGAGATAGAGAGTTGGTTGGGTGTGTGTGTGTGTCTTGTGTGTCTGTGTAATTAACCATCCCTCTGTTGTGTCCCTCCACCACCAGTCAGCCCAGGGAGTTTGCGGGGCCGAAGGGGGAGTGTGTCGCCTGTCATCCAGAATGTCAACCGCAGGATGGGAGGGATAGCTGCACTGGACCGGTATACAAACACTATTTTTCTCTCTCTCTCTATCATTCTCTCTCTTTCTTCCCATCTCTCTCTCTCGTCCTCTTGATCTCTCTCTCAATCCCGCTAGCAACTAACCCTCACTGCTAGCTTCACATATACAGTCTATAAGTGGAAGGATAGAAAGGATCATGGCTGAGATCTAATGCTCTGTTCTTGGCTTTTCATTATCAAATAATCATAAAAAACAGATCAGAAAAATCAGTATGTCTGATATAAATAAAACATTTAGAAAACTTATATAGCTAGAGGTGATCGAGATGTATAGATAAAATCTTATATGATCTATCCTCATATTCAAACTCGAGCTAACCCCATATGTATGAATATCAAGAAAAAGTGTAACATAAGGAAGAACATAAAGTAAAAAATGTAAACTCCTAGTCTCTCCCCCTCTCTGTCTCTCTCTCTGTCTATCTCTCCCCTCCCTCTTATCTCTCCCTCTCTCTCCCCTCCCTCTCTCTCTCCCCTCTGTCTGTCTCGCTCCCCCCCTTTTCTCCATCCCCCCCCCCTCTCTCTCTCCCCTCCCCCCCATTTCTCTCTCTCTCTCAGGGGTCTGATGAGTGTGTGGTGTGTTCTAGTCTGAGAGACGGTCCTCACTGTGTGTCCTCCTGCCCCAGTGGGGTGAACGGAGAGAGGGGGCAGTTCATCTACAAATACCCCAACAAGGACAGCTACTGTGAGCCCTGCCATGTCAACTGCACTCAGGGGTTAGTGATGTGGGTGTGTGCATGCGTGTGTGTGTGTGTGTGTGTGTGTGTGTGTGTGTGTGTGTGTGTGTGTGTGTGTGTGTGTGTGTGTGTGTGTGTGTGTGTGTGTGTGTGTGTGTGTGTGTGTGTGTGCGCGCGCAGTAGAGTGACGCTGTGCATCTTGTTGCAGGTGTTCAGGTCCAAGGTTGAGTGACTGTATAGACAACACTAGACACTCCAGTAGGTGAGTGTCTCCCCCTGCTGGTGGTTATATGAACACACACACACCCCACTCAAACACACACCAGACATTTATCAATTTTTCTCCTGTAGCACTCAGATCACAGGGATAGCGTTGGGAGTGCCGGCTGCCCTCATAGTCTGCCTGGCATTGTTTGTGTTGGGTATGCTGTACCACCGTGGCCTGGCCATCCGCAGGAAGAGAGCCATGAGGAGGTACCTGGAGAGTGAGGAGGTGAGAGGAAACTACTCACTTGAAAATACATGTCAAATTCAATATAAATACTGTTGTATCTCTACAGCATAACTGAAAGTATGTTGTGGGACATATTGGACATATCCAAAAAATTATATCCAAACTTGCAGTATGTGCTAAAATGTAACTTGTCTGTGTGTGTTGTTAAAAGAGTTTTGAGCCGCTGGGGCCAGGAGAGAAAGGGGCTAAGGTTCATGCCCGGATCCTGATGGCCCCAGAGCTGAAGAAGATCAAAGCCCTCGGCTCTGGAGTGTTTGGCACCGTACATAAAGGCCTGTGGATCCCTGAGGGAGACTCAGTGAAGATTCCTGTGGCCATTAAGACCATCCAGGACCGCACAGGCAGACAGAACTTCACTGAGATCACCGATGTAAGAATCCCACACTCATAACACACCGATACTCAGTAACTATACTAACGTCTGAACAGAATCCCACACTCATAACACACCGATACTCAGTAACTATACTAACGTCTGAACAGAATCCCACACTCATAACACACCGATACTCAGTAACTATACTAACGTCTGAACAGAATCCCACACTCATAACACACCGATACTCAGTAACTATACTAACGTCTGAACAGAATCCACCAGAATTCCTAGTCACCAGATCTGTTTGTGTAAAGGAGGTGGGGTTTATTGAAGAGTAACCTTGCATGAGACCTACATACTTGTGTTAGCTCCCTGAGCTAATGCCTGGGCTTTAGCTCAGCAAGCTAACACAGTCTTGTGGTGCGTAGGAGACCCTGTCTGATCTCTCTCTCTCTCTCTCTCTCTCTTGTTCTCTCTGTGTGTCCTCCTGTGCAGCACATGTTGTCCATGGGCAGTCTGGACCACCCGTATATCCTCAGGCTCTTAGGTGTCTGTCCAGGTGCCAGTCTCCAGCTGGTCACCCAGCTCAGCAGCCAGGGGTCCTTACTGAAGCACATCAGGCACCACAGGGACAACCTGGATCCACAGAGGCTCCTCAACTGGTGTGTACAGATAGCTAAGGTGAGGTCACGATCACTAAAGGATAGAACCATTTTTGGTTCCAGGACCTTTTCACCTCAAAGAATCCAGAACATTTCCATTTCCATTTCCATCATTTAGCAGACGCTCTTATCCAGAGCGACTTACAAATTGGTGCATTCAACTTATGATAGCCAGTGGGACAACCACTTTTTATTTTTTATTTTTATGGGGGGGGGGGGGGGGGGGGGGGGGGGGGTAGAAGGATTACTTTATACTATTCCAGGTATTCCTTAAAGAGGTAGTATTTCAAGTGTCTCCGGAAGGTGGTCAGTGACTCCACTGTCCTGGCGTCGTGGGGGAGCTTGTTCCACCATTGGCGTGCCAGAGCAGCAAATAGCTTTGACTGGGCTGAGCGGGAACTGTGCTTCCGTAGAGGTAGGGGGGCTAGCAGGACAGAGGTGGATGAACGTAGTGCCCTCGTTTGGGTGTAGGGTCTGATCAGAGCCTGAAGGTAAGGAGGTGCCGTTCCCCTCACAGCTCCGTAGGCAAGCACCATGATCTTATAGTAGATGCGAGCCTCAACTGGAAGCCAGTGGAGTGTGCGGAGGAGCGGGGTGACATGAGAGAACTGGAAGGTCGAACACCAGACGGGCTGCAGCGTTCCGGATAAGTTGTAGGGGTTTAATGGCACAGGCAGGGAGCCCAGCCAACAGCGAGTTGCAGTAATCCAGACGGGAGATGACAAGTGCCTGGATTAGGACCTGTGCCGCTTTCTGTGTAAGGCAGGGTCGTACTCTCCGAATGTTGTAGAGCATGAACCTGCAGGATCGGGTCACCGCCTTGATGTTAGCGGAGAACGACAGGGTGTTGTCCAGGGTCACGCCAAGGTTCTTTGCACTCTGGGAGGAGGACACAATGGAGTTGTCAACCGTGATTGCGAGATCATGGAGGGGGCAGTCCTTCCCCGGGAGGAAGAGCAGCTCCGTCTTGCCGAGATTCAGCTTGAGGTGTTGATCCGACATCCACACTGATATGTCTGCAAGACAGGCAGAGATGCGATTCTCTACCTGGTTATCAGAAGGGGGAAAGGAGAAAATTAATTGTGTGTCGTCTGCGTAGCAATGATAGGAGAGACCATGTGAGGATATGACAGAGCCAAGTGACTTGGTGTATAGAGAGAATAGGAGAGGGCCTAGAACTGAGCCTTGGGGGACACCAGTGGTGAGAGCACATGGTGCGGAGACAGATTCTCGCCACGCCACCTGGTAGGAGCGACCTGTCAGGTAGGACGCAATCCAAGAGTAAGCAGCGCCGGAGATGCCCAACTCGGAGAGGGTGGAGAGGAGGATCTGATGGTTCACAGTATCAAAGGCAGCGGATAGGTCTAGAAGGATAAGAGCAGAGGAGAGAGAGTTAGCTTTAGCAGTGCGGAGAGCCTCCGTGACACAGAGAAGAGCAGTCTCAGTTGAATGACCAGTCTTGAAACCTGACTGGTTTGGATCAAGAAGGTAATTCTGAGAGAGATAGCAGGAGAGTTGGCTAGAGACGGCACGCTCAAGAGTTTTGGAGAGAAAAGAAAGAAGGGATACTGGTCTGTAGTTGTTGACATCGGAGGGATCGAGTGTAGGTTTTTTGAGGAGGGGTGCAACTCTCGCTCTCTTGAAGACAGAAGGGACATGGCCAGCGGTCAAGGATGAGTTGATGAGCGAGGTGAGGTAAGGGAGAAGGTCTCCGGAAATGGTCTGGAGAAGAGAGGAGGGGATAGGGTCAAGCGGGCAGGTTGTTGGGCGGCCGGCCGTCACAAGTCGCAAGATTTCATCTGGAGAGAGAGGGGAGAAAGAAGTCAAAGCATAGGGTAGGGCAGTGTCATTTGACTTAATAAATGAGGATTGGATGTCGTCAACCTTCTTTTCAAAATGGTTGACAAAGTTATCCACAGAGAGGGAGGAGGGAGGGGGAGGAGGAGGAGGATTCAGCAGGGAGGAGAAGGTGGCAAAGAGCTTCCTAGGGTTAGAGGCAGAGGCTTGAAATTTAGGGTGGTAGAAAGTGGCTTTGGCAGCGGAAACAGAGGAAGAGAATGTAGAGAGGAGGGAGTGAAAAGATGACAGGTCCGCAGGGAGTCTAGTTTTCCTCCATTTCTGCTCGGCTGCCCGGAGCCCTCTTCTGTGAGCTCGCAATGAGTCGTCAAGCCACGGAGCAGGAGGGGAGGACCGAGCCGGCCGGGAGGATAGGGGACATAGAGAGTCAAAAGATGCAGAAAGGGAGGAGAGGAGGGTTGAGGAGGCAGAATCAGGAGATTGGAGGGAGAAGGATTTAGCAGAGGGAAGAGATGATAGGATGGAAGAGGAGAGAGTAGCGGGAGAGAGAGAGCGAAGGTTGCGACGGCACATTACCATCTGAGTAGGGGCAGAGTGAGTAGTGTTGGAGGAGAGCGAGAGAGAAAAGGATACAAAGTAGTAGTCGGAGACTTGGAGGGGAGTTGCAGTGAGATTAGTAGAAG